GGGGTGGGGGGTGGGGGGGTGCGGGGTGGGGGGGGTGGGGAGGTGAGGGGGTGCGGGGTGGGGGGGTGGGGGGGTGCGGGTGGGGGGGGTGGGGGCTCGCGCCACCTGCACGGACCAGCCCCCATGATTACAACGGCTTCCTACCTAGGAGGACCGAGTCTCCTCGTCCTGAAGCTTCACGAAGCCAGAGCAAAGGGAAAGGGAGTCCTCTGAGAACTCGCCCTTCACATTTGGCAGTGGGAAATCGATCAAAATGTTCTTTTTAAGGCGAAACGTTGAGCTCCTACCGACCTACCAATTAGTGGCGAAAAGGGGCCAGACCCAGACTGCGCAGGCGCATTGCCTCCCGCGCCCGCGCGGGCGACCGTCCGGCCTCGGCCCTACGCGCGCGCGCCTGCGCGGGGCCGGGGGGCGGGGCCCTCAGGCGTCCCGGTTGCCTAGATACCTCTGCGAAACAATCGGTGCGGCTGGCGCGTCCCGGCCGCAGCGGGAAGAGGCAGTTGGCCTTCAGTTTCCGAGGAGCCCGAAGAGGAGGAGCGGGTGAGAGCCCCGGCCGGCAGCCCCGGACCCCGCGAGGCCCGCCTCCTGGCCCGCCCCCAAGCCCGGGAGCCCGCCCCCGGCCCCGCCACAGACCCCCGGTCCCCCGCCAGGCTCCGGGTCCCGGGGAGGCAGGGCGGCCCGGCCCTGGAGCTGCGCCTGCGCCCCGAGGCTCACGCTCTACCCCCGCCCCCTCCGCGCAGCACACCTTGGTTCTTCGCAGCCTGGTACCGGCCTGCGGAGAGCGATGCCGCTTCCCGACACCATGTTCTGCGCGCAGCAGATCCACATTCCCCCGGAACTGCCGGACATCCTGAAGCAGTTCACCAAGGCTGCGATCCGCACCCAGCCCGCCGACGTGCTGCAGTGGTCCGCGGGGTAAGCGCCTGGGGGAGCCGGCCGCCCCGCGTGGTGCGCCGCCCCGACACCCGTCCCGGCGCCCTTTCCTGCAAAGCAATGGCAGCTCCCTCGTGAGAGAGTGGTACTTACTCAGACTAACACTTACAGAGCAGTTGCATCGGGTGAAAAGTTTCTGCACTGTGTTCTCTAATGAAACCACTGCAGACCCTCCCTGTATGTTCTTTGTAAAACGATTTTTACAGGAAGGAATCTTACGGCCAAGCTCCTCGCCCGAGAGAATCCTCCCCGGGTTAGGCACCTGGGTCATTTTATTAGAACGCAAACGACCCAGGTCATATCGGGGTAATTTCCCCAAGGCTGCTGTGAGGGTTAAACTTTGCCCAGCCTGCTGCAGAGAAGGCGGACGTTCCTTGCAGCAAACATGCTATTTCCCGGAAGACATTCATAAGTTTAAAGTTACAAAGCCAATAGACCTTAAAACCATTCAAATAAACCCATTTGGTTTTGAAAGGAAAGTTCTTTGCCCCTTTTCAGAAGACAGGCTTAGAAACTCAATTTTGTGATCACAAGAACCGGTATAAATATAAATGTTTTAGTAACCGGCCTGTCCCGTTTCCCTCACTTGTAAAACCAAGGTGAACACTAGTTCCCTCTGGCTGCCCTAACGAATCACCACAGAAGTGGATCGATCAGAACAACAGGCATGTATTCTGCTGTGGAGGCTGACAGTCCAAATTCAGTTTCGCGGGGCTGTAGTCAGGCTGTCGGGGCTTTTCTCCGGGGGCTCTCGGGAGAGTCCAGTCCCTTGCCTTGCCTTTTCCACAGTCTGGAGCCGCATTCCCTGTGTTCGGTGGCTCGTGGTCCCTTCACCCTTAAAGCCAGGAGTGTAGCGTCTCCAGGACTCTCCCTCTGCCTCCCTCTTCCAAGCACACCAGTGATTACATTCAGGGCCCCTCAAGAAAGTTCAGGGACACAGTTCTCCCATCTCGGAATCCTCACCTCTACAAAGTCCCTGTTACCGTGTGAAATGAGACCCACAGTTTCCAGCATTAGGACCTGGATATCTATGAGGCTCTTCTGGAACCTACCACACAAGGCTGCTTATTAACCCAGTGTTTTGCCTTGTGACGGACACTTCTGTTAGTTGCTTCTCAAAGAGTCTCCCTGGGTTCTTGCCAAAAAAATTATGGCCTCTGGTTTTAACCGTTAGGAAAGCATCAACGAAAGAAAGGACGCGTAAGAGTGTACCTGTACTTGACAGAACACTCCAACATTGAGTCACTTTTTTTCTTGGAACATTAAATTATTTTAGTTTAGGCTTCACTTTAACTTAAGTGGCGTAACCGAGAACTTTCTGGATGTGCCATGCAACCATTTTCCCTCAGGAATAATTTTGGAAGGGGCGCCTGGGTGGCTCGGTCGTTTGGGCGTCTGACTTCGGCTCAGGTCATGATCTCATGGCCTGTGAGTTCGAGCCCCTCATCGGGCTCAGTGCTGACAGCTCAGAGCCTGGAGCCTGTTTCAGATTCTGTGTCTCCCCCTTTCTCTTCCCTGCTCATGCTCTGTCTCTCTCTGTCTCTCAATAATAAATAAATGTTAAAAAAAACAAACAAACCAATTTTGGAGTTTAGGAGTAAAAGCAAGCATTCACTAGGGAGTGTGTGTGTGAAATGGGCTCAGCCAGGTCCCACACAATCTGTGAGGGACAGATGTTGTCAGAAGAGGGCAAATTGGTCTTTGAAGTTATGACAAGGTAAGGGTGGCCTGGGTGGCTCAGTCAGTTAAGCATCCAACTCTTTAAAAAAAAATTTTGGGGTGCCTGGGTGGCTGAGTTGGTTAAGCGTCCGACTTTCGCTTAGGTCATGATCTCGTGGTTCGTGGGTTCGAGCCCCGCGTCGGGCTCTGTGCTGACTGCCAGCTCAGAGCCTGGAGCCTGTTTCAGAGTCTGTCACTCACTCTCTCTCTGACCCTCCCCTGCTCACGCTGTCTCTCTCTCTCTCTCTCCTAGAAATAAATAAAACATTTAAAAAAATTTAAAAAAAAATTTAATGTTTGTTTATTTTTGAGAGAGAGAGAGAGAGACAGAGTGCAAATGGGGGAGGGTCAGAGAGAGAGGGAGACACAGAATCCCAAGCAGGCTCCAGGCTCTGAGCTGTCAGCACAGAGAGCCACGCAGGCCTTGAACTCGCAAACCTCGAGATGATGACCTGAGCAGAAGTTGGTTGCTCAACCGACTGAGCCACCCAGGCGCCCCAAGCAACCAACTCTCAATTTCGCCTCGGGTCTTGATCTCACAGTTTGTGAGATTGGGCCCCTCAGTGGCCTCTGGTACTGACAGTGCAGAGCCTGCTTGGGATTGTCTCTCTCTCTCTCTCCCTCTCTCTGCCCCTCCCCTGCTTGCACATACTCTCTCTCAAAATATATAAATAAATGAACAAACAAACAAAACTTAGAAAAGGCAAGCCAGGGGTATTCCAGGAAGAGGAATGGCATCTATGCAAAGGGACGCCCATGAAGGTAACTGCGGGAGACTTCAGGAGGCCTTCAGGTTGAGGCTCTTTACAGATGAGGCCTCAGGTGGCAGAGGCGACTCAGCCTGCCCCGCCCCCTGCCTGTGTGCTCTGATGCAGCAGCTGGTTGGCTATACATTATTATGTCACCTGCGCGTGTGCAGTGTGACCGGGGCAAGACGTGGTCCAGGGCGGAAGGCCACTTTCCGCGACGCGCGCCTCCAGGGAATTCACACATCGGGGCTCTCCCCAAACATGGGCTTTCTCAGCCTTGGCACTGTTGACGCTTTGGACAGGACAGTTGCTTGGGGTGGGGGGGTGGGGGTGTCTGGGCACAGCAGGACCCATAGGACCCCCTCCTGTGACAGCCGAAAATGTCTCCAGAAATTGCCAGTGCCTTCCGGGGTAGCCGACGGGGGAACCGTTGAGGACCACGGCTTTAGAGGCCGTGGGGAGCTGGGGGATTGGCTTGATCGGTGATGACGAATAAAGCCCCAAAATAGGTGAAAACCCTAATTAGGAGCAGTATGACAAAGCTAAGCACCCATGCCTCCCCCGTCACCTTAGATCTTCCTGTCCACCTTTGTCTCTTACTGCTGCCCTCGTGTTAGGTCACGAAATATGGGTGCAGAGAGGAAAAGGCGGTGAGGTTGAAAATTTCTTGTAGCCTCTCAAATATCTAGCTACAGCGTCTTTGTTGCATAATCAGAGATGTTTCTAGTTATTCATATCTTTTTTTTTTTTTTAAGTTTATTTTTGAGAGAGAGAGAGCTGGGGAGGGGCAGAGAGAGAGAGAATCCCAAGGAGGCTCCGAACTGCCAGCACAGAGCCCAGTGTGGGTCTCGGACTCCTGAAACGCGAGATCGTGACCTGAGCTGAAATCAAGAGTCGGACGCTTAACCGATTGAGCCACACAGGCCCCTCGTTATTCATATCTTTTCAATTATGACCTGAAGGCCTGGTGGATGATTTACGATTCATTTTACTGTGTATGTTGTTTCTTTTAGTCATGTTGGCCGTCAGAGCTGCAGTGACCCTGCCGCAGTGGCTGGCCACCTCCTGCTCGCCTGGCGCCTTCCCCCCATCCCCCCCCCACCCCGGACCAAAGCCAAGTGTGTGCCCCCCTCCTGACCTGCTGCCCTGAACCGGTTCCATACCCTCACTTGTCCCACTAGACGTGGTATTCGTGCCAGTATAAGCACCAATATTCACATCCCAGAAAGGAACAATTAAATGGGAAAAAATACTAAAACAATTACCAAGTTGTTATTAATTACTAAATTAATGAAATTGATTGCTATTGCTAAATTGTTAAATTTAGTAAAGCAGTTTACTAAAAAATTACTTTAAAAAGGGTACCGGGCAGGACCCATGAAGGGTGAGGGGGGTGTGACTTGGAGGACCGGAGGGTTGGTCCCCAGTCAGGCAGATGGGTGTCTTCCCTGATCTGGGACCGTGTCGTGTTGAACCGAGATGGCTGAAGTCAGGCCCCTTGGAAAGCGGCCAGGACAAGCAAAGGGAAGACCAAACGCCAGCTGTCAGAGTGGAAGGACTGGACTGTGACATTGCCCTTGGGTCACCGTTGTCCCAAAGCTCCCGCCTCCTTTGGCAGCATTCCAGGACCCCTCACAGCTTTTGCTTGATGAGATGAGAACACGTGTGTCGGCAGCCCCCGCCCCTCACCGCCGTGGCCTGATGGCCAGGGGCACATTCAGCCCGTTGCAGCCTGAGCTCAGTCCCCCTAGGGGCCCTGCAACAGGGATTGCCATTATCGGTTTTACAGACAGAGAAACTGAGGCACGCAGAGAGGCTTAAGTTGTAGAGCTGAGTAGAGGAGTCAAGACCCCCGGAGGGGGATCCCAGGCCCTGGGGGTCATTTAAGAAACCTCACTGATTACAGTGCTTTCTGTGTATCTGATGGGATGTCTGTCGCCATTAGGTACTTTTCAGCTTTGTCAAGAGGAGATCCACTTCCGGTCAAGGACAGAATTGAAATGCCCGTGGCCACTCAGAAAACAGACACAGGCCTGACTCAAGGACTCCTGAAAGTTTTGCACAAGCAGGTATGAGAGGGTCCCTTATCCGTCAGCCCTACGAGGTGAAGCGTGGCCAGCTGCGGTAACGCGCCACGTCACCTCCTTGAGGCCTCCGTTCCCGGTGCAGACCTGCGAGGTGTTTTCAGAGGAGGAATCTTGTACTCGGTGGTCTTTCTCTAGGTTAAAGACCCCCACGTGGCTGTTTGCGATTAGATTGTCAGAAAGGGAAATACAATTTTCTTCTAAATCCTGTGTTAAAACACGAGATGCCCCTGGACTAAAAGTCTGAAACTTCAACTCCAAGCGTGGGGGCTGCAAGTCTCTTCTTGAAATATGTTTGTACAAATTTTGTATGTGCTAAAGAAATAATTTGCCGCTGCGTTAATCTGAACGGCAGATTAGTGTCCGGTGTCCAGTCATCCAGAGAAGCCTGGGCGTGGGCGAGGCCCTTCCTGGCACCTTCCTGCCCAAGAGCCAGGGCTCTCCTGACCCACCACACGGCTTTCAGAGAAACGAGTTACTGGGGAGTGTGTTACCCAGCCAGGTTTGGCAATCGTGATGATTGGGCTGTGATGCTAAAAATGACATTGGTGGTATGACCTTGGCCTTTTTTTTTTTTTGATGTTTTTATTTATTTCTGAAAGAGAGAGAGAGAGAGACAGCATGAGCAGGGGAGGGTCAGAGAGAGAGACACACACAGGCTCCAGGCTCTGAGCTGTCAGCACAGAGGCCGACACAGGGCTTGAACCCACGAACTGCGAGATCATGACCTGAGCCGAAGTCGGACACTTAACCGAGTGAGCCACCCAGGCGCCCCTGATCTTTATCTTTAAAGGGATTTGTCCCCCTTATACATTTGGGACTTACCATGCTTCTGGGCAGGATTCTGAAAATATGATTATTCCATGGCTTTCTCTGTCTTGAGGGAAACATGAATAACCATCTACAGGGGTAGCTTGGGAGAAGACAACGCTAAAAATTGCTCAGAGCACGTCTCATAGAAGGCGATTAGCAGATCGCAGTAGTTCCCCATCCTCACAGATTGTTTAAAATAGTGGAAGGAGGGGCGCCTGGGTGGCTCAGTCGGTTGAGCTTCTGACTTCGGCTCAGGTCATGATCTCACAGTTCGTGGGTTCGAGCCCCACATCGGGTTCTGTGCTGACGGCTCAGAGCCTAGAGGCTGCTTCAGATTCTGTGTCTCCCTCTCTCTCTGACCCTCCCCTGCTCATGCGGTCCCTCTCTTTCAGAAGTAAATAAAAAACATTAAAATTAAAAAAAAATAGTGGAAGGAATGAGTTTGTTTTCAGTTTTCAAATTTCTTCCATTTAACCACTGACACACGGAGCGGGTTGGATTTGAAATGTTTTTATTTTATTTATGGAGGTTTGTTTTCTGTTGTGAAGCACTTCACACGGACCGCAGAGCGTCACCTACCTGGCGTGCGTATGCCCTTTGTCCGAAGTCACAACGTTAGGCCATGTTTGCCTCACAGCCCTTTTTCCTTTCGAGAATTACAACGTGCTGATATCCGCCCGCTGCCAACACGCACCCCCCTCCCCGCTGTCCCAGGGCGCACTGTGTTGTGAAGTCAGAGCGTGTCATTGCCCAGCATGCAATGGGGACGTGTCTAAGCTGTCATAAACATTATATTTCACAGGCTTTTAAAACCTAAAGAAGACTCGTAGACATGAAAACTTACACATTTTGTCACCCTGTGGTTTCCGTGCAGTGCGGCCACCAGCAGTATGTGGAGTTAGCAGATCTGGAGCAGAAATGGAAAAATCTGTGCCTGCCCATAGAAAACTTCAGAACTCTGCTGCAGTTGGATCCTTGTGAAAACAAAATCGAGTGGATAAAATTTTTAGCGCTTGGATGTAGCATGCTTGGTGGGGTACGTACCTACAAGTAGCGTGTTAATAACTCTGGGTAATCGCGGGCCTGGCTTGAAAATAACGTAGGGGTTTCAGGAACTGAAGGAAACACTTTCGTTACTTTAGTCACTTTGTCTAAGAGAAGCAGGTTTTTTTCTCAAAGACTGTTGTGGTTTTTTAATGTTTGTTGATTTATTTAGAGAGAGAGAGAGAGAGAGAGAGTGAATGAGGGACAGAGAAGGGGAGAAAATCCCAAGCAGGCTCCATGCCGTCAGTGCAGAGCCTGACACGGGGCTCAAACTCATGTACCTTGAGATCATAACCTGAGCCGACATCAGACGCTTAACTGACTGAGCCACCCAGGCGCCCCTGATCATCTTATTTTTAGGTTTGCAGTTATTTTAAGCATTTTTAAAAATGCTTATTTATTTTGAGAGAGAGAAAGAAAGCATGAGTAGAGGAAGGAAAAAAGAGAGGGAGAGAGAATCCCAGGCAGGCTCCATGACGTCAGCGCAGAGCCCCATGTGGGACTCAATCTCAGGAACCATAAGGTCATGACCCTGAGCTGACACCAAGAGTCAGACGCTCAACCGACCATTATTTAAGCTAATTAAATAAATTAATTTAAATTAATGTAAATAAAATAATTACAGTTATTTTAATTTGCAGAAGTTAAATTCTTAAAAATTCTTCAATTTTAAAGTTGTTAACAGGAGATAAAATATATAGATCCTATTAAAAGGCATTTAGGTTTTAGAAGAGAATGCATCGATGACTTTTTATTAAACTACACACCGTTTGGTAAACAGATACTATGGTTTCCTCATCGGTGGGAAGAGGTGTAAAGTTATTTTATGTTTGAGTTAAAATATATGGTTAGTAGGTGACAGATACAGTGCAATTTTGCTTATGTTCAAGTACGACCCTCAGGAACGAAGACCCAGACGACCCTCCGACTCCCCAGGTAGGGGCGTCTCTGACCCGAGGGGGGCTGGGAGAGGAGGTACAGGACTTGTTTGGGAGTCTGGAAGCCGGCTCTTCAGCTCCATGTTTAGGTCTGTGTGAGACACCGGGGTCCAGGGAGGGGAGAGTTACACTGTCCACTTGCGAAGAAGCGGTTTTTAGGAGGCGAGGTGGACCCCTCACTGCCGAGAGGGGCACGTGTCTGCACCGCAGGGTGTAACTGGGTGGTTCACAGTCCCTGCTTCACAGTCCCCGCTTCACGCCGCACACTCATCTCCGGTTGTAATTTTAGAGAATCGCTGTGTGTAAGAAACTCCTACAAGCCGCACATGATCACTGACACCGACAGTGCGCTGCTGCTGATGGCCTGCGCTCTCTTCCTGTCCCCTCCCCACTGCCCCCCACCCCCACCCAAGCCACTGCTATCCCAAATCTCATGCTTCCTGGGGGCCACATACATTCCCCAAGAAATACATTATCTCGGGGCCCCTGGGTGGCTCAGTTGCTTAAGCATCCGACTTTGGCTCAGGTCATGATCTCGCAGTTCATGAGTTCGAGCCCCACACTGGGCTCTGTGCTGACAGCTCAGAGCCTCGAGCCTACTTCAGATTCTATCTCTGTCTCTCTCTGTCTGCCCTCCCCCACCCCGCTCATATTCTGTGTGCCTCTCTCTAAAATAAACATTAAAAAAATAAAAAAGAAATAAATACATTATTTTATGTTCATTGGTTTCAGCTTTATGAAAAGATAATTCTGTTGTTAGTAATCTGCTGGAACTTCTTTTCACTCCCAGTTAGCTTTCCATGTCTGTCGCCTGTATCATTACAGACTGCGCTAGGCCATGCATTGCCTCTGCTGTGTAATAGCCACTTTGTGGTGTGCCATGGTTTGCTGGTCTGCTCAGGGCCCCAGTGAGAAACTGGGAGACCCCAGTGCAGCCTGGTGCTGGCTGGATGCTGCGTAATGAGCTGCACAGGTGCCCAGTGTGTCTCCACCAGCAGCCCCGGGGACCCTCCCGCAGCAAGGCTGGGCCCCAGTGTAACCAGGGGATGGGGTATTGAGGTGGGAAAGACAAAGACAGATTTCATTACTGAAGCTTTCTTCATCTGGAAACTCCTCTGAGAGCCAGATTTGCATAATATAAAATTAGCATCTAATATCTGAATTAATGTTCATGGTGTAGTGAAATTTAGATCTTCACAATGAGACAGTAGAATATTTCGGGGCACCTGGGTGGCTCAGTCGGTTAAGCGTCTGACTTCGGCTCAGGTCATGATCTTGTGGGTCATGGGTTCGAGCCCCATGTCAGGCTCTGTGCTGACAGCTCGGGATTGGAGCCTGCTTCGGATTCTGTGTCTCCCTCTCTCTCTGACCCTCCCCTGCTCACGCTGTCTGTCTGTCTGTCTCTCTCTCAGAAATAAATAAAACATTAAAAAAATTAAAAAGAAAGTAGAATATTTCATATTTTGGAGGACCCACCTTTGTAATTTTCACTTCCGCAAGCCTGAAGATTAAGCACTGAATTGAAACCAAGCCAGAGCAAGAGATAGGGTCTCTCGTCCATGTGTCAGGTGGACACTAGGTGGAGACATTTGGTCACCTTCTGAACGGAACCCTGGGCAGGGACTGGGACACCAGCCTACATGCCTCTCCTTTCCTCCTGGAATAAGTCTCTCATCCTTGCTGGTCAGTGTGGGGTCCTGGCCTGTGCCCTGAGCCAGGCCACCTCGGCCGTAGAGTTTGCTGTGAGCTGTGGACTCGAGCCAGGCATTTGGGGAAGGCCCTCCTCCTCCTCCTCCTCCCCATCCCCTCCGGTCCACCAGCCGCACAGGTGTTGGGGGGACTGGGGAAAGGGGAGGGGGGCATTTGCTCTGCCCTTGCCTGCCCCTCCCCGGCCCCCCAGAGTACAGACAGCCTGGGGCGGCCAGGCTCACAACGCTGTGACTTGGAGAGGACAGTTTTGGTGTAGCGAGCGAGCATCTTAGCATTTATCTTTATGCTTTTTAGAACAGCTTCAGAAGTTGGGGCGCTTGGGTGGCTCGGTTGGTTGAGTGTCAGATTTCAGCTCAGGTCATGATCTTGCTGTTTGTGAGTTCGAGCCCCACGTCGGGCTCTGTGCTGACAGCTCTGAGCCTGGAGCCTGTTTCAGATTCTGTCTCCCTGTCTCTGCCCCTCCCCCAGTCCCTCTCTCTCTCTCAAACATAAATAAAACAAAAATATTTTAAAAACCTTCAGAAGCGAGGAGACGGAGCAGTGAAGTGGAGGAAAGGACAAGTAATTTTCAGTGGATTACTGCCCATTCACTTTTCCACAGAGGACTTCCGTTCAACTGGAGTCTGGTCGCTATGTCAACACAGAGGGCTCTGCTCTGCTTCCTCCGCCCACGGTCCCTGCGTGGCTGGTGGCAGACACATTCTCCCTGCTCTTCACTTCCTCTTCAAAATCACCGGCCAGAGGAATCAAGTTCAAGGTCTCTATGAAGACTAGAACCTCTACGTAAATTTCAGAGTCCTGTGAATCCTTCCTTGCTTCACAAATGTGTGTTGAGCACTGCTCTGTGCTGGGCCCTGTCCAGGGCGAACAAAACAGGCGGGCACCCCTTGCCACCGCCTCGCTTACCGTGTCGGGAGCTACCGATGCAGAAAAGGGGCGGTGGGGGCTGCCTGGGGCAGGCGGGACGTGGGCTGGTGCACCAGTGACCCCTGCCCTCTTCTCCAGTGCTGTGCGATGCCTGCCTGGCAACATGGCAACAGTTTATATTGTGATCTTTATCTTTACGTTTCTGCAGCACCAGCAATGAGCCTAAGCATTAAAGCAGTGGATCAAAATTCTTCGCTATGTTTTTTAAGCTTGAAGACCTTTGAACATAAAGAAGCTGTGAATGAAGCCCCCCATGGCCCCCACGCTGACGGAGGAAGCCCGTAACGGCAAACCGCCAGCCCGAGTCTACGCAGCCCCTGAGAAGCGTGCACCTTGCTCTGCGTCCAGCATGCGTGTGTGAGTGGAACACGATTTTCCGTCCACACCACAGTGCTTACACCCAGGCATCACATCCAGGGTTCTCACCACGAGCGGGGACATTCGGCGCCTTCGTCTCTGTTCTCCTTACTCCTCCGAGCAGCCGGCTGCGGAAGGGCCCGTCCTGAGCCGTGGAGGGAGGCTCCGTGACGCAGCTGTTGGTGACTCAGATTGGAAGTGGCTGAGCGGGATTTGAACGCAGACCGCGGGCTCCGCGCTGCCAGCGCACGGCCACCGGGCTCCCTGGTGACTCCGTAGCCCCAGGAGTGTGCCGCCCTCAGGCTGGGCCGCCGTATGAGAGCCTGCAGCTCCCTGTCTCAGAGAATAGCAGCTCCCAAGGATTATCATTAATGTCACTTGATTTCCTAAAATGATTTTTACTCGGAAAAGCTTGCAACGCCGGCCTCCTAACAGGGCTCACTTGGAAATCTTAGGATGTTGTCCAAGCACAGTGGTGCTTCCTCTTCCTCATGTTGGGTTTGGTGTCCCGGACCCATCCCAGTGATGGAGTCCGGGCTCGCGCACTTATTCAGGCTTCCCAGCTGGGCCTCTGAGCCCATTCGGAGGTGACCACGAAGATTCCTTTTACCATCGGGCCGCCGAAAAGAACCAGCCCCCCGCCCCCACCATGGGTGGGAGCCTCAGGTCGCAGACAAGTTTGGTAACCGCGTCCTGCAGCAGAAGGACTGCTCTTGGGCCCCCGGGCTCCCCGGCCCCCAGCACCAGTCACCCCCCTGCTGAGGGAGGGTCTCCCCCAGGGGGAAGAAAGAGGTGGGGTGCACCCCACCCACACGCCCCCACTGGCCTTGGGCCTGTGCTCACACGGGGACCCTCCATCCTCCCTGGACGGTGACGTGGGCAGCACCCGCCCTCACCAGCGGGCTTCTCCTGAAGACCGAGTCCCGCCACCTTGAAAATACCCATCTGCCACCTTCACCTGCGCGAGTCCCCGGACTGGACTGCGTTTTAGATGAGAAAACCCGCGAGGATTAAGGGAAAAGGTCCTCAGACTTTTTAAAAGTGAAATTTGGGGTTGGTAGCACTGCGTGAAGCCACCAGGCCGCGCCTCCGAGGAGACCCCCCTTCTGTTTAAGGGACCAATCAAGAAGTTACACGGATTGTCACTTCCCGCCCGCCACCAGGGAACCTGGGGCGGTGTGAGGTGGCTCTGTCGTGTCATCACAAGAGCAGCTCAAACTGTGAGACAGAAGCTTCCACAGGACGGACACCCGGAAGCTGCTCCGGAGATGGCAGGCGGCCGCAGGCTCGTCTTTCCGTCACGTCTCCGCCTTAATCGCATGCGGCGGCTCAGCCTTAGGTGCCCGGCCAAGACCAAGTGCGGCCACGCCTTCCAGGACAGCTCGTGGCTGGAGACTGGGTCGGGGCAGGGGACCGGAAGGGGGGTGCCTGCCCACGTGGGTCCTCTGGCCGGTGAGCCCCCCCTTGGGGGCTGAGAGATCTGGCTCAGGCACAAAGCCACGCACGTTGCTTTACGAACCTGTGTGCACGTAAACGGATCACTGCACACCTCACTGCCAGAAACGTTAACGCCGGCAGCGTGGCCAGGCCCTCGCGAAGGCTGTGATGCTGCCATGTTTTGATGTGTTTTCCCCCTAAAGACCTCCTCCTTGGAACCACCGTGACGCAGACCTCTTGTGCTTGCTCCGTGCACTGCGTCAGTCCCCATCGTCCTTCCTAAGGCTTTCAAGTGGCCGTAGGCCCCGGAGGGTGTGGGAAGTGGCTTTCCAGATGTTTGGAGCCCCGGCTGTGGCGATGGGGGGCTCTGGGCTGGGCAGCCCTTCTCTCCAGCCCCCAGCCCAGCACCTGGAGACCCCCCCCCCTCCAAAGGTGGCAACGCCCCCCACCCCCCACTCCGCTGCCAATCCCCGGTGACTCTTCACGGTCGTGAGGTGGGGTGCGGTGCTCCCGCCCTGCGGACTTCACCTCGGGCCAGCCGCTCAGACTCTGGGCCCCACTGACTTCCTTGTAGTCTTTCCCCGTCTCCCTGCTGGAGACATGAGGCATCTTCTCTGGCGAGAAGCTGGCCGAGCTCCTGGAGCCCCGAGGGGGTGCAGTGCTGTGTGGTGAGAGGGTCTGCGGAGAGCCAGTCGCAAGGCCCCGGGTCGCCCAGCAGCCTCGGTCAGGGCGGGGGCAGGCCCTGCACCATTCGGGCCTCTGGATGAGGCCAGAACCCTGGCCAACACCTTGACTGGAGCCCTGGATGGCCCAGCTAAGCAGGGCCGACTCCTGACCCACAGAAACTTCGAGATAGGAAACAGGGCTCCAGCCATTTGTGTGTCCCTCAGGTGTCAGGCTTGTCCCCCTACACAGTCTCGGTCCCAGTGAAGCAAGTCCACGTGTGACCGTCCCGCCTGTGTTTTTCTCGCTCTTTCCTCCTAAGTGCAGCCCCTAAATGTTAACAGCCTGCTCTCTGCAGGGGAGAAGGGCCCCAGCTTGCAGTGTTAGCCCACGGATGGGGCGTAAATGCTCCCACCATGGCTGGTTTCAGGCCACCAACGGGAGGTCAATCCTCTCAAAAAACTCCTAGAAATTCAAGAGTCCCCAAGAGCTGCTCCCCCTGCACACAGGCCTGGTCCCTGCGTCCCCACGAGTCTCCTGTGAGGCCACCAGGGATCGGATACAGTCTAGCACTGAGCAGGGGCCATCTTTGCGGGCCTCCCCCACCATGAGTGCATTTCCTTGAGCGCCCCCCCTCCCCCAGCTCGGAGGGAGAAGCCTGCTCTGAGCTTGTGCCTTGCAGGAGGGTGACGGCTTCTCCAAGGCCTGGCTTTCAGGCACAAAGTCAAAGTATCGGCGGCCGGGGAGGGGGTGGGGCGTGACTGAGCCAGGCACAGGGAGGCACAGTGCGCCTACACGGAGGCCCATGGGGCTCTGGTCGGTGACCGTCAGCTCCGTCCCCTGGGCACGTGGTGGCGCTGAAGGGGCTGGTGGGTTCTGTGCTGGCTCAGGGCCCATCCTAAGGGGGCTGATGCTTCCTCATGCCCGGAGAGCCGTCTTCATTTTATTTAGTTATTATTATTTTTTAAAATGTTGTGTTTATTTCTGAGGGAGAAGAGAGACAGCGTGAGCAGGGGAGGGTCAGAGAGAGAGGGAGACACAGAATCTGAAACAGGCTCCAGGCTCCGAGCTAGCTGTCAACACAGAGCCCGACGCGGGGCTTGAACCCATGAACCGCGAGATCATGACCTAAGCGAAAGTCGGACGCTTAACCGACTAAGCCACCCAGGCGCCCCTTATTTAGTTATTTTTTAAAGTTTATTTATTTAATTATTTTGAGAGAGAAAGTGCGAGTCAAGTAGGGGCAGAGAGAGAGAGAGAATCCCAAGCAGGCTCCGTACTGCCAGTGCAGAGCCTGACATGGGGCTTGAGCTCGTGAACTGTGAGATCATGACCTGAGCAGAAACCAAGAGTCAGGTACTCAACCAACTGAGCCACCACCCAGGTGCCCCCCCCCATTTTAATATAAAATAAAATCTGTGGATTAGCATTCTCTTCAGACCAATTGCAGCCTGATCAAAACTTCCTTTTCCGTCTCTTTGTTTATGGCAATCGTAACTTGACCTACTTCTTCATACAGATGGAGGAGAACATGCTCTTTGGAGCATTTCTGTAAAATACACTCAGGTGTTTTCTCTGCTGGTGTTTTGGGCTTTCATGTCAGCGATTCCGAGTAGTAATTGTCCCCCCCCCCGCCCCGTCTGTGGTGCTTCTAGTCACTGAACACGTCGATGAAGCATCTGTGTGAGATCCTCACCAGCGACCCCGAGGGCGGGCCCGCGAGCATCCCATTCGAGACTTTCTCCTACGTCTACCGTTACTTGTCCAGAATGGACTCGGACATCCCCGAGGCGGACATAGAGTCCTATCTCGCCACTTTAAAGGACACTGCGTGAGTATGAGCGCTCCCTGCAATTCGGGTCTGTTCTGTATGTTAGAGAAGGTCCTTTCTCCCTCCCTCTTTTCTCTCGGACAAGTTTGTTCCTGCGCATCCTGCCGGTGCTGGGAGGGAAGGGCCACACACACACACACACACACACACACACACACACACACGGTGTCCCAAGTGGGACACGGCGGGAGGCACACGCCGGCTCTGTTCCCACGCGAGAGGGAAGGTGTGTCCTGCCTTTGAGACGGTTTATCCAGAATTTATCTTGGTTCCTGAGTGTGCCAACTGGCGTCTGACCACCGCGCGTTAAAGCAGAAGATGGAGGGCACAACTCCACAGGGACACTGCAGGCGGAGGGTGTGACTGCCCGCCTGTGTCCCTCGCTTGTGTCCCGGGACTGCCAGACAGGGCCGGCCGCAGACCCCGCTGAGGGCCCTGAGAACAAGGGAGCAGAGGCGCACAGTCGGGCTGGGCACCCCCTGCTCAGCAGGCCTTGTCCTCACCGCCGGCCTCGGGTCCCCTCCTGCCCGGGGCGCCAGGGCCAGTGTCCCTCCCCGGCTCTGCCTCTGGACCCTTCCAACTGTGTTTGTCCTCCCTCCTCCTGACCCGGCCCCCCCCCCACTGTCTGCTCCGCCCCCTCCTCCACGTGCTCTCCGCTACTTGGCAAGCAGCCCCTCCCCGCCCCCCCCAGCACGCCAGGTGACCGTCTTCCTGCTGACACTCCTGACACCCACAGTTCTGGGGGACTTGCCCCTCCCCTCTCTGATGTCCCCGCAGATGTCTCTCCCCTTCCCCTCCTCTGCAGCCACACCCCTCCCCCTCCCCCTACAGCTGGCTCCCCTCCTCCAGGGACGTGAACCCTGCCCAGCCGCCTCCCTTCTTTCCTGAGACCTCCAATGCCACCCCGACTGCCCCCCAGTGGCAAGTGATAGGAGGGGACTGTCCCCTCCTTCACCAGCAGCCTCCTCCCGGCTCCAGTCCCCCCTTGTCTGGACACGGTCATGCTCATCCTGCGTCAGCTTGGAGCACTCGCCAACCGCCCCACCCCCATCTCAGGTCCTCACAGTGGGCGCTGCATAGACCCTGCCCTGTCACCTCGCCCCAGACCCAGTCTCTAGCCCCAGATCCACCTGTCCCATGGACCAAGGACAGCGGCAGCCCAGAGCTGAACCGGGCTTTCCGAGCCGCACTCCCCGCCCCCTCTGAACCCCAGCCCTCCAGCCCTCTGTCTGGGCCCTTCCCCCAGGGACCCCTGTCCTGTTGTGAAGCCAGCTCTGGGCTCCGGGTGTCAAACCACCTGCTTGACCTTCCCACTGCAATGTGCGTGCACGTGCCAGGCGGTGCTCGTGCCAGCAGAATTCACCTTCTTTCCCATGTGTTTTCCTCCCTGGTTTCCCCCTTCTGTAAACCGAATCACCCACCTCCCCCCCAGGGAGATCGGAGCAGAGACCTCGGTGACCCTTAGATGATGCCTCTTCCCTCCCCTCCCCCTCCGTAACCCGTCTCACATCTTTCTGTGCTTCCCCCCGTTCCGATGCCCCATCGTCTGCCGCCCCTGCCTCTAGCCGGCTGCAGTCCGCTGGCCTTCAACTGTTTCAATGTTTATTTATTTTTGAGAGAGACAGAGACAGAGTGTAACTGGAGGGGCAGAGAGAAAGAGGGAGACGCAGAATCCAAAACAGGCTCCAGGCTCTGAGCTGTCAGCACAGAGTCTGATGCAGGACTTGAACCCCCAAACCGTGAGATCGTGACCTGAGCCAAAGTCGGACACTTAACGGACTGAGCCACCCAGGCGCCCCCCGACCAACTTTTTAAATAGAAGGATACTTTTGTTTCAGTAGGGACTAAAATTTGAATGGTCAGTGAAGAAAACATATAAATAAAGTATGGACCGTTTCACCTAGAAATAATGCCCATTTTTTTTTTAAATTTTATTTCTGAGAGAGAGAGAGAGAGCGTGAGCAGGGAAGGGTCAGAGAGAGACAGAGTCACAGACTGAAACAGGCTCCGGGCTCCGAGCTGGCTGTCAACACAGAGCCCGACGCGGGGCTCGAACCCACGAACCGCGAGATCATGACCTAAGCGAAAGTCGGACGCTTAACCGACTAAGCCACCCAGGCGCCCCAATAATGCCCATTTTTATACAAGAAAATAGAATGCTGTCTCTTCAGAGGTAAGAATGACTGATTAGAGACCAGAAATCATCCATTTTTCTAGGTACAACTTTTAAATTATTTTGCATTTCACCAAAATGGTACCGTGCGCTGCAAGAAATTACTAATAAGTGTCTTTATCTGTTTCCAATTTAGAAACTCTAGAAAGAACGGCATGATAGGACTTTCAGATTTCTTCATTCTGACAAGGAAAGTTTAGGAAACCTCGAAAAGAAAATTCAGAAGACAGAGCCATTAATACAGGGGAGAACACTTTTTAATGTGACATAGTGCCTTTTAAAATCCTTGGCACCAAATACAGCTTGTCATTAACCACATACGTGTGTCGTGTGAATTTTCCGTCGCAGTTGGGTGTGGTCAGCGCAACGCAGAGCCTTGTAAATGATGGCCCTTCACGAGCTTCTTGTAAGAACCTTGGTGTGAAGGATTCGCAGCAGGGAACCAGTCGTTTTGAGTAAAGGGATCTATTTGGGCGCTGCAGAATGGGGGGAAGGGGCCGTTTAAAACTGACTGTTCTTTTTCCTCCTTGGGGACCCCCGGCCAGTGGGAGGGCAGGTGCTTGCTCCCTGGGAACTGCACCTGAGACGCCCCAACAGCATCATCTGCTGAAGCTGCAGCGGGGAGGGGGGCCTGGAGGGTGCCTGCTCGCTGCAAGAGCATCACAGCCAGGGAAACAAAGTGGACCATTCAGACCACAGAACAGAAACAAGCACCCCAGGGACACTTGGGTGGCCCAGTCAGTTAAGCATCCAACTTCAGGACTCAGGTCATGATCGCAAAGTTTGTGAGTTCAAGCACCGCCTAGGGCTCTCCGCGGTCAGTGTGGAGCCCACTTCGGATCCTTTGCCCCTCTCTCTCTGTCTCTCCCCCACTTGGGTGCATTCTCTCTCTCTCTCTCTCTCAAAAGTAAATAATAAAAACATTTTTTAAAAATTAAAAAAAAAAGGGGCGGCTGGGTGGCTCAGTTGATTAAGTGTCTGACTTCGGCTCAGGTCATGATCTCACGGTTTATGGGTTCGAGCCCTGCATAGGGCTCTGTATTGACCTCTCAGAGCCTGGAGCCTGGTTCAGATTCTGGTCTCCCTCTTTCTCTGTCCCTCCCCTGTTCACACTCCGTCTCTGTCTCTGAAAAATGAATAAATATTAAATTTTTTAATTAAAGAAATAAGCACCCCAAATCTTTTATATGCTTGCTTTATATAAAGTCTTCAAAATGAAATGGCAAGTAATATGCCTTAGATAATTTTACTGAGAACTTAGAAATGGTGCGGCTTGTTGGTTTTCTGCAGATCAGCCACCATAGTTATAAAATTTATCAAATTTTATTTATTTAAATAAATATATATTTATATAAAATAGATATAAAATTTATCAAATTTATCAAAGAGTTGTGAAAACCCAAAGTTATGAGGAATCGCTTCCTCCAGGGAAGAGAAGCCCCTCCTGTGTCACGTCTACCTGAGATCTAGGGACGCTTTTTGCTGCTGCCTCTCCCTCAGAGGACCCTCTGCCTGGCCGAGCCGGAGGGTGACCATCAGTGTCACTCAGTCAGCCCCAGAGAGACCTTCTCATGACAGGTGCCCGTCCAGGGGGCCACGGACCGAGAGTGGGGGCCTGATGACTTTGGGGCCTGCTTGCTGCAAACGTCTGTCCATTCAGTAGAATTTGTGCTGAGGTGTGTCATCGGGAGGTCACAAGGGAGGGACACACAGCCCCTGCCCCCCGTCACTGGAGGGCCACCAACATTCACCGAAAGAACTTCATCAAATTGCTGACGAGTCACAGTGCCTTGGGTCAGGACGGTAAACTTGGACAGAGTTTTATGAGACTGAGACTAGATGAATATCATCATGTGTAAACTCGCTGACGTGGACGGCTGAACTAAAAAATGTAGGTGGGATACTTTTTCAGCCTATCAGAAAATCATAAGGTATTAAGGGACTGAAGTAGGTGAGTGGGTAAATACACTCTGGTGCATGCAGACACTGGGGTGTTACTCAGCTCTAAAAGATATGAGCTGTCGGGGCACCTGTGTGGCTCAGTTGGTGAAGTGTCTGACTTCGGCTCAAGTCATGACCTCACGGTTCATGGGTTCGAGCCCCGTGGGGCAAGGTCTGCTCTGACAGCGTGGAGGCTGCTTGGGATTGTCTTTCTCTCTCCCTCTCTGCCCCTTCCCTGCTTGCACTTTAAATAAGTAAATTAAGTAAGTAAGTAAGTAAATAAATGAATGAATGAATGAATGAATAAATAAATAAAAGAAATGAGCTGTGAAGCCAGGAGAGCTGGAAGAGGTTTGAACGCATGCTATGAGGTGAGCAAAGCCAGTCTGAAAGGCTACTTACTATACGATTCCAAGTGTACGACCTTCTGGAAAAGGCAGACTCTGGAGACACTGAGAAGCCGAGGCTCCCCGGGTGGGGAAACGAAGACGTGCAGCACAGCGGACCCCTCTGTATGGTACTGAAATGAGAGAGACGTATCGTTGCGCATCTGTGTCAGGCCATGGACTGCAGAGTGCCAGGGGTGAGCTGTGGGGTGTGCTGTGCTCATCAGCTGTCCCAGGGTCCCCCTCTGGCTGGCTGTTGACGGCACGGAAGGCAGTGCATATATGTGTGTGTGTGTGTGTGTGTGCGCGCACGCAGGGGGTATATAGAATAAAGGACTCATAACACCTGCCACCACATGGGTGTAAGTAAACCAACCCCCATCAGTGAACAGGCTCTGGTGGTTGTCCCTCACCTCAAAAGATGGGTCTTCACAACGACTTTGTCATCGAACGGGAAATGGCATTCGCTTAAAACAGTGTGCAGCCCCTCAAATTGCTTGGGTCTGATTCGATGCCTCACAAAGGCCCTCCGGTTCCAGCAAAGGGAACTGGGCACAGAAACGTGAACTTACCTTTGTTGAGTTGATACCACGTGACCATACACGTCATCTCGGGGAACGACTAGAACGCATGTGCTGTTTCTGGGGATAAACGCACACTGGAACAGTCAGGCACAAGTGGGGTTTCCAGACTGTTCTTTAGAGTGGACTCTGGGTCAGCAGAGTTGGAAGTGGTTGTCCAGCCCAATCTGGTCCCCTTAATGGTGGCCCTCCGGCCGTCGCAGCGAGGACTAAGAAAGTAGCCGGTTAGATCTGACCCCAGCCTGAGCTCTTGGGGCTCTGTTCCCGTCCCTGCCACAACCCAGAATGGGGTCTTCCTCTGGGTCACCCCTCGGCGTGCCTTCAGCCCCAGAAGCTGTCCCTCCATGGGGACTACCACCCCCGGGTTCCCAAGTGTCCAGAGAAAAAGGTGGAAAATGAACTAATTTTATAATTAACAAAGCATTAAGGGGAGGTACTTTTCTGTCTCACTTTTGCCGGAGAGCCTCCAGCACCTTGTTCTGGCACCTGATTAAGAGACTGCGCTGTGTGCCAAAACTGGATGGTTTGCTCTTCAATAACTGGATTCCTAATGTTCACACAGAAGACTTCGTCTCATTAAAGAGAACACTCTTCCTGTCCCCGTGCCGGTCCCTTGCATCCTTGGATTCCCTTTATCCTTCTCCGTTCCTGCGCTCACGTCTTTTTACAACAGCCGTAGGAAGCTTGGCTTTCAATCGGATTGTTAACTGTCTTTGGGGGCTGACTCAAATGGTTTAATTAACAACTACAAGCTTGTTGCAAGTACCACTAATTAATGCCTTGGATAAAATAAACCATTCAAGTGACAGGAATGTTTGAGCAAAGTTGTCCTGGACGGAGGCCAGCAAAAACACTCCTCGCTAGGGGTTCGGAACCGTGCTCTGCCCACACGCGGAGAGGAGGCAGATGGCCTCATCTGGATTGGTACCTTGGGAGACAAAAGAGATTTTTCCAATTAAAGTCACTTAGAAAAACAGACTTCACAACGAGGGAGGCCAAGCATTAAAAAAAAACAAAAAAAAAACAAAATAATCCCTGGCATTTGTATGGTATGGACTTGGAAAATATCTGCTATCCCTTCCTTACAGGGGAGTGGGTTTGGGGAAAGCCCAATTGGAAAAGTCACAAGGTGCACGTCAGCCGATGACGGTTTTGACCTTAGGAAGTGTCTGTCCCACTGAAACGCACATCCAAAGCCCTGGCCCCTGCAGTGCAACCAGAATGATTTCGTCTTCTGCCTAATTCTCTCTGTCCGCTTCTGTATTTTTCATCTTTAGAGAAAGAGGTTTTGGTTGCTTGTTTGGTTTGGTGTTTGTGATGAGTAAGCAAGAGAAAAGGGGACATAGAGACGGCTCTGGAAGCACACAGTCACCACTCATGATGAGCTCTGAGGCGATTGGGCCGGGCCGTGATAATGCTCTGAAAATGATGTTAGCTACAAGCCGCTCAATTAACTTCCAAGTAGCTGTTATGTCTTGGCGACCCCTGGCATCCTTGCAAATTCTTGTAACACCAGAAAACCTAGCTTCACAAATGCTTTTCAAATGTAATGAGATTTTTATGTGTACTCATTTTCACAATTAATGGAGAAGGAATATGTAAAGTAATCATTTATCGAGTTTCATGTTGCTATTTCCATACTCGGAGGCCTCTAATTTTTTTCAAGTCTTAAACATTTCCAAAGCTCCTTGAAGACGCTCATAAGCCTGAGGCTAAAGAATAAAAGGGGTCAGACACTCTCTAGGGAAAATTCTAAGTCTTATGCAGAATTAGTTCTCCTTGATGGTCAAAGTACATTCTCACTGGAACCCCCTGAGGTGGGTGCAGAAGTATAATTAACCCCATCTTCTAGGGCCTGAACCAGAACTCAGAGCCAAGGGCGTCCGGTTCTCCTGGCCCAGGGCTCAAGCCCACCCCTAACCTCACTTCCTTCCGCTTTGACTCCTTCTGCTTCCCACGTTTCTTGAATCTGCCCATTTCCCTGGTGCTGGCTCTCCCTGAGGTCGCAAGAGCCAATGGGAAAGGAAAGTCGAATGGGTGTTGATGCATTAATGCCCCGTCCTTCCCAGATGGGTCCTTCCCGGGAGCGTCACCTCAGGATGAGCCTGTCCCATGCGCAGATGGAGCCAGCTGACCTGGGACAGACAATGGCCCCGTTCTGGGCATGGGCACCACTTGGCCAACTCCCAACCCCCAGTCTCATGCTCGAATCAAGCGTGAAGTGAACAGAGGCCTGACCAGAAGCCGGACAGCAGATGCTTGTGCCCCGGCAAACGCTGTCCAGTGGGGCCTCGGGGACGTCTGGGCTGGGAGAACACCCTGGCTTAGACGGAAAGGCATTTATCCAGCATCCGTTAAGGCCTGTGTGAAGGTCTTACAGCTCATTGGATTCTCACAGCAGCCGCAGGAG